GTGGAAGGGACTTGAGCAGGGAACCACCTTTCTAGACTATTCCCAAGGCTCGGGAGACACTCGGCTGACATCAGGAGACGCCGGGCAGAACTGTCCACAGGGTCTCCCGGTGGCCGGGCCTTGCTCTCGGAGGCCCCTGGGTGGATGTGAACCGCGGGCCCTTCGGTGGGCAGGTTCTTTACTTAGAAAAGGCACAGGGAACGCTGGTTCCTGCGTCCTGTGCACTGGCGTGCACCCTGCGTGGCTGACTGGGCTGTCTGCCTGTGGTGCAGCCAACTCAGGGGCCGCGCAGCAGGCGGTGTGGACAGCTCTCTGGGCTGCCAAGGGCAGCGTGCGCACATGGGTGCATGTGTGCATGCGTGCGCCATCAAGGTGAAGTGACTGGAATTGGCCGTTCTGAATCAAAAGATCATCTGGAGAGGCCGGTCCCTGGAGAAGGCCATCGTGCTTGGTAAGGACTGTGCTTGGTAAGGACGAGGGGCAGTGACACACGGAGGCCCTCGAGGAGGACGCCCGTGGCTGCAGCATGGGCGCGGGCGTGGATCGGGCCGTGTTCCCTTCTGCTGTGCAAGGGGTCAGAGCCGACCCGACGGCAGATTGGGGAGGAGACGAGCCTTTAAACACGCACTTGCTCTCTCACACACAGGTGCGCACACACAGGAATGCTTCATGGGAAAAGAAGTAAAATACAGACTCAAGCATGCTGCTGTGAGGGCTGTCAGGTCTGCTCCGCCTCAGCGCCATGCAGAACGAAACCGGCCGGGCCGCGAGCCCCTACCCCCATCCCCCCAGCCCCGGCTCTCACGCGTGAGCTGAGTCCACCCCTCGTCACAGGCCTTCCTGTGTGCACGGCCTCCTGCTCCAGGGGCCGGCTCGGCCGACATGGCCGAGGGGGAGGTTTTTCAAGCAAAAAAATATCCATGAACCAGATCCATCCACACAATGCACGTCCCTAAGATAAACCAGCTCCTTCCATGGCCTCCGCCCACAGGGACGCGGCAGGTTCAGTGCTTGGCTGCTAACCAAAGGTCGGCAGTGTGAACCCTCTGGCGGCCTGCTGGGGACAGCTGTGGCCGTCTGCATCTGGAAGGCGGGCAACTCTGGAGACCCTGCGGGAGCTCCGCCCCCAGGGTCGCCATGTCCGAATGCACCAAGGGCAACAGGGCTGGCTTTTCGGGTCAGCGAGAGGACAGGGCAAAGCCAGAGACAGAGTGCATCCACAGGCCACTGGACCTTGAAATGCTGCCTGAACTTCGGCAGCAAAAAGGAACTGGAGAACTTTATCCTGGGTGCAACCAGGCGGGGCTCTCGGGCGCTAGCTGACCCCTAGTAGAGCTAACAGACCCCGACCACCCTCGGAAGGGAGGCCGGAGGCAGCTGCTCTCGTGTCCAGTGCTGCCCAGATGGGGCGGTGCGGGCAACTGGCAGCTCCACGGCTGCCAGCGCCATCTTCCCAACAGCATGTGCTCACTTCCTGTCCCTCTCTCTGCCCTCTGTGGTCACGGCATAGGTCACAGATGACCATAGGGTCAGCGGCACGTTCCTGAGTGTGCACACACGTACACCTGTCTGTCTGGAGAACTCTGGCCAGGATCCCGTGTTCTAAGTCACACGTAGAGGACAGGCACTGCCACCCGCCCGCCCGTGCGTCCTCCCTGCGTCCACCAGGGCCTACCGTGCTTCTCGTCCTCGTCCAGGTCCATGGCTGCCACCTGACAGGGAGGGAGGGTGGGGACACGTGAGGCACCACAGCACGTCACTGTGGCTCTCAAGAGGGGCCACAGGTTAGCAAACATGGACCATGACGACGTCCACGCGCCAGCTGCGTGTCTCCCCCTGCCCAGCCCACCCCCGGGGCAGACTCACCGCTTCCACCTCGGGCACTTCCGAGAGCTGGGGGGCGGCCTCCACCACAAACTGCTCGTCCTCCTCGTTGTCCGAGAGCTGCGAGTCTGTGATCACGTGAGACGGCGCCCTGCCACTGCCCACCCTGGGGGGGGAGGGGGGGTCAGGGACCTCGGCTCAGGCACGCGCCTTCCTCACCCCACGGCCCGAGCTGTGGCCGCAGGGACAGGCCGGGGCGGGGCCAGGCTGCAGTGACGTGGAGGTGGGCCGAGGTCCTCTGAGCTGTCTGCGCTGCACTGTCACCTCTTCCTTCTGAAACGTAGCTCGGGTCTGGTTTGAGGGGAGGGAGGCCTGACCTGATGGCTGATAGCTTGTGTGTGTGTGTGTGTGTGTGTGTGTGTGGTGTGTGTGTGTGTGTCAAA